AACCCGACTCTGACCCGATTTGGACCCTCGATGGAAACGTAGTCCGTGTAGTACGGCGACCCGGCCGTGAGAATATTTGCAGAGCGCGACTGTATTTTGTTATATCGATGACCATAAATTAAGAGCGAAATCTAAACCATCTGTTTAATTTATTAGGGACCGTATCGAATTCGTTGTTTTCGACTAAGTCGCGTTCGGTTCTTGAAAGCTTCGAGGTCTTCTACGAATATTCTGTCTTTTCATGCACTCGAAGAGGGTCGTAAATTTTCACCTAGTACAAAGACTTGTTTGTTTTCCGTCTTCTCTGTGTTCCACGCTTTCTCTAAGCACATGTGCGCTGTTACGTTCCCGCGTCTTGGCGGAGCCTCCACCACCACGCGGCTGAGGGTGGACCACAGCCAGGAGAAGGGGCCCACATCGGACGGGGGTGGACTCCTCCACCATTGGACAAGGGATGATCCTGAGGGAGGATCCAGGATCCAGCGAGAAAGGGGCATCGATCCGCATCACCCGAAGATCTCTTCCGCCAAGCGCAGAACGAGCAGACTAATTTCATATTTCATACGCTCCAGTTTGCTCTTGTAAAAAGTACATTGTCAGTTATCGAATAAATAGTTGGACTTAGTTTTTTCTCATCTTAAATCTGTTCGAATTATTTCTACATACCGCGAGCCGGCGCCTCAGCGCTCCACGGGTTAACTTACCCACATCCTAAAATCCCTAGACTGCGAAAGGTAAACGCAACAGAATCAAAGTTAGGAAGACTTTTGAGAGAAAATAAAATACTTAATGAAAAACAGTCAAATTTTCTACAACGCTTACGCAATGTAGTGGGAGATCTTTGCAGCAAAAATATATTGAGAACAATATTTCTTGAACAATCACCTGATTAAATCAAAGGGATTTTTGTCATAAGTGAAGTTAACGAGCTATCAAAATTAGTTGTTCAAGCTGTTAAAATTATCGAAGTGTTAAGACCGCCAATTTCAACAATTAATGCGACTGAAAATTCTGATAAAGAAAATAGATTCAGTAAATCTAATGAAAACCAAATAAATAAATGAAAAAACATGATGAAAGCCTTATCCGTTAAATTTAAAAGAAAATTTAGAAGTAGATCACGATTAAAGTCTAATTACAGAAGAAATAGATTCAGAAGTCGATCAAGATTTCAGAACGAAAATCTGTCGTTTTGTTTCCGTCATCAAAAGTTCGGAAACAGTCTGTTAAATGTATACCGCCATGTTTTTAGACTGGAAAAAATGGAAGGAATAAATTGATTCGAAAAATTGAGTATACTGTCAGAAATTTAGGTAGCTCACAATAGCATTAGATCCACTGCCTAATTATTGCGCACAAAACGACTTAATAGATATTGGAGTTGATATTTCAATTATTCCGAAAAAATTATGACTCTTAAGCCGCACGATTAAAAATTAATTTGTATAATTAATTAGAATTTGTAATAACTGATGCAAATCATTCAATTAAAAGAACAGATTTTCGAAGGAAATGTAATCTCGTAATAGATTTACATGTCAAATGAATTATTCATGAAAATATTAAATTAAATAGTTTTGAATACATTAAATATATAACTACAATTTCAGCAATTTCAACAATTTCAACAATAAACCAATCATATAATTATAATAAATTATTACAAAAGTAGACCGATCACATAAATTTTGTCAAATAATATAGGAAGACAATTCCTATAAAACTCTTGAATATATCGCCACATAGTGTGAAAACTTTGAACTAAGTCGTAAATCAAAAGCGAAATTCAGCAATGGAATATAATTGCGAAATTAATTTATGTTCTCGTTTATTAATAAAATTGCCGCGCGGTATTTTAATTATGTTGTTTTAAGAGTTTGAAAGTTACGGTTCTTTCACCTTTTTTCCCATGCCATCATGTCCTCGTCTGGGTTCAAACCACATCCCTACTCTTTGGTTCAGACTTTAAGCAAAGAGTAGGGAGTCTAGCAACAGTCGACACTCGACAAAGAAACTCACTTCGTAAAGAGAAGCAGATGCCCAAACCAAATAATTTTGACGTAGTATTTCGAAATGCGCATGTGCATAGTGTACAAGTATGGCGGTCAGAAATAACAGTTTAAAACTGCACATTCATCAGTAATTTATTTCGAATAAATATTTTGTCATTTCTCTGTAACAACACATTTATCTGCATTTTCTTGTGATATAAGTTTTTTGTAGTAATTATTTTTGTAATATATGTGCTTAAAATATATTTTGTAACATTAAATATTTTGTAATGTTTCAAGGTTGTACAATTGATGAAAATATCTTGAAAGACAATATTGGTAATATACAGAAAATTTACTGCAAATACATTCAAAATTATTAGAGGTTCACATAAAATTAGATTCATTTAATTTGAATTCGCTCGTTTGCTCAACCAATTTAAAGGCACAGTGTTTTCGAAAAATCAAAGGTGCTAACAAAGAGTGTTACCTCTTGTGATATTTCTATTCTTTGATTTTCTTCTATAAAGTGAGTTTCCTTGTCGAGTTTCACCACTTGTATTTCTACTTTTCGGTATATACATAACCATGAATGCAAAAGCAGGCTATAGAGGGATTTCGAAATAATGAATCTCTTCGAGTCATCCAATTACGTGAGTTTCAATATTTCATTTGTGAAATGAAATATGAATAACAACATGTGCATCTTATACATTTGAATGTAAAAAATAATTAAAAAATTGGAATTATTATAATAAACGTTCAATACAAGAACTAAATCAGTATTAACAACTTTGTATATTACATTTAAATTTGTTAGTTAGTTAGTTATTTTCTCATAAGAGAGGGCATTCAAATTTGACTGAAGTTTAGTTGCTCATAGTTGGTTGTTCGTTATATAACCACATTTCTAGAGAGCAGTTATTCAACGAACATACTTGACCTTCGAAAAATCTGACAGCAGATAATTTACAGACAATTAAGCATAGAATAAATAATAAAATAAAAAATGGTCTGTATCCTTGTTTTGTTATCATTTTATTCAGAAATAAAATAATCAATGAAAGAGGAATAATAAAAAGTATTACGGACAGATAAGTACACTTGGTGTTAAGTGCAGTATGGTTTGATTTACAAAAAAGATTTATTAAGAAAGTTTATCCGTCCACGGATCCTAAATAAGAAAAACGTAAGAGACGATTAGTGCTTATAGGTTTACGTACAGTATGTTCAGGATTGGCAGTATAATATTATGGCTACAAGTGAAGCCAATACAACAAAGTCCCGACAAGAAAAACAATACGATTACCTTCTAAAATTTTTGCTCGTGGGTGATAGTGACGTTGGAAAACAAGAAATCTTAAGTGGACTCGAAGATGGTGCTGCAGAATCTCCGTTTTGTAGCGGCAGTGGTACTTTTCAATTATTTAAATATTTAATCATACTCTTAATTTTTCATACATCCAAATATTATGTTTACGTTATATTAAAATTGAACTTTACGTTATATAAAACTTTCCAGTTTGTAAAATTTTGTAAAAAAATAAATTTTAGTTATATTATTTCACAAAAGAATTGAAATCACTGTTCTATTAATTATTTAAATATGAGTTGCTATTAGCGATTATAAATTACAAATAATTAAAAAAAATTAGTATATAATCTTCTAAATATATTTTTTTACCTAGTTATATTTACATTAATTTTAATGATAAAAATATTGTTATATATATTCTTTTTTCCGTATTCATGATTTTGAATATAATATGCAGAATTATGATATATTAATCCTTTCACACACACATATGATATATATATATATATATGGCCAGGTATTTATAAGACTATATGATCAATTTTGTTTAAGCTAAGGAAACACAAGTTAAGCACAGTTAATAACTGTGCCTGTTTGAGAAGCGCTTACTTGTGGAAGGATTAATATGTAGATAATAGAAATGATAACAAATACAAACTTGGTACAAAAATTAATTAGCTTTTAGTTGATCATAACTTACAAACAAAAGTATGTTACTTCAGATTTTTCTAATAGAACAATGTATTTTTGAATATATTAATTGATACGTCATGTTATTCTTATTATAAGTATTAAATTCTATATGCCAAAAAAATATTAATTTCAGAAATATTTTAATTTAAATGCTGCGAAGTAATATTGGCAATATGATGATTGTATTAACATTATCTTTATTTTTTTTAACATGAAACCATATTATTTGTTTCATTATGTATTTGAAAATTACAATACAAATTTTTTTTTCATACATATGGACTTCTTATTAAAAGTCTATGGGGCTGCTAAAGACATATTTGCAAAATATGCAAAATAATATTTTCTTATGTTTGCTCCAAAATGTTAATAAAGCAACTATTTTTCACACTATATGTTAAATGATTTGTAATAGTTTCATAAGTGCAACTATACATATACACGAGTGGACTTAATTGAAAAAATTTAAAATTATTATTATTATTTTCTTTTCGACACATTGTTTATCAATTACAGAAAGGCAGTGGCATTCATTGTATTTTACATAATATATAGAATGAAATATCATACAAGTAACTAAAAAACGAAAAAAGAAAAGAAAAGGTGTAAGAAAAAAAAATAGAAATAGATCATTACATAAATTTGAAACATATATTCATAAAGATTATTAACTTATGAGCTTTGAATGACTATTAAAAATAAGATGTTATTTGAGATATAATTTTACTTTTTTCTAGTACATTCCACATAGTATAAAATATTTACATATTCCATATTTATTTGTTATTTTTGTCTAATCTACATACATTTAACATCTTCAATATGTAGGTAAAATATATTTCTCACTCATAAATTTGTGAAAGTGGTACATATGTAATGTATATGGATCACGATCCATATATAAGGTCATACACACACATTAATTCATGTATAGATCAGAAATCAGTGAACATGTTAATGAGATATTTATGCTTGACTTTTGAATATATCCACAACCTATTTTTATTATTTCTTGTGGATCTTATGTTGCACAGTTATGTATCCTCTTATAGCATACTTGACGAAAATTAATATTTAAAGTTCATTATTAGACAAAATGGCATTACTTTTATTATTGAATTTATGTAATGCCCCTATAAAATATGGAAAATAACAAATAATATAGTTTCATGTAAAAAGTAAACTTTACCTTAAAAACATGAATATGGTATTATTAACATTATTTTGAAATATGTAAATTAGAATATCTTCTAAACTAATCATTTTTTTACATAAAGCATTTAATTTCTTTTGTATAAAGTGTGATTAAACAACTACCAATAGTTAACTAATTTAACTATTGATAGTTAACTAATAGTTAGCTATATATAATAGAATAGTTAACTAATTTAACTATTGATAGTTAAATAACTATCAATTAGCATATGTAAAAAGGATTCCATTTGAAAAAAATTAAATTTGTTATACTCTTCTTTTAAAATTTTATATATTAACTTCATTTACTAGATCATTGGAAGTGATAAAATTTCTATTATACTCTATACTGTTTGCTTATCACCCATTTACTTGATATTCCAAAATGCACTGGATCTTACATTCTGCTTTCAATATTATAAACGTGATTTTACAAACCTAATCAATTAACTTATGCTTTTTTTGCTTGTATATCAAAGATACATATATGTATACAATATACAATATACGTATGTATACACAATTAATAAGAAGATATATATTTATAGCATACAAAACTACTACTATCTTATTGGATGGAAAGAGAGTAAAATTACAATTATGGGACACATCAGGACAAGGTAGATTTTGTACAATTATTAGATCTTATTCTCGTGGAGCACAAGGTGTATTTTTAGTCTATGATATTACCAATAAATGGTCTTTTGATGGCATTGATAGATGGTTAAAGGAAGTTGAAGAGGTATCTAACAATTTAATATCTTATATTTTAATTATGAAAAGATTAGAATAAAGTAGTAGGCATGATTTGATCAAATGTGAACACTTAATTTATTAATTTATAGTAATATGACATAGTGAACTACAGTTATTAAATAATTATATGAAATATATTAATTTTTACCTAATATTCTAGCATGCACCTGGAGTGCCAAAAGTACTTGTTGGGAATCGTCTTCATTTGGCTTTTAAAAGACAAGTAGGCGAACGTGATGCTGAAGCATATGCAGCTAAGAATCATATGGCATTTTTCGAAGTTTCACCTCTGTGTGATTTTAACATTCGTGAAAGTTTTTCTGAACTCTCCCGAATGGCTTTACATCGTAATGGTATGGAAAGATTGCTGAGATCTAACAAAGGTAAAAATTTTATTTTATTCTTTTAATACTGAGGATGAGCAACCTTTTCTTGTTAAAAATTTGGTTATAAACACAGCTATATATTATAAACTTATACGAAAATATGAAATGGTCTTTTACAATGTTAGAAAAATTATTGATCACTCATCCCTATTGTAATGGTTTAAAATGAAATTATATATAAAATTATCTTATCTTTCAGTTCTTAGTCTTCAGGAACTTGCTTGTCGTGCAATAGTAGCAAGAACAACAGTTTACGGTATTGACCAGCTTCCATTACCCAAGTCCATTAAATCTCATTTAAAATCTTATGCAATAACAACTATATCTCAGTTACGTTATAATGGAAACAGATCATTAAACCCTAGTAAAAGTCTAGGTTCTTATCATCGAAAACTGCGTTTTGTTGGTGTAGGTTATAATGGACTATCAACTCCAAGTAGTTCACCTGGTAGCATAACAGATTCTCGTACCAGTTGCGTTGGTCGAAATTCTTGCACAATATCTTGAGAATAACTCTATGGTTATAGTTATAAATATACAATACAGTGTTAACACTTTTTTTTTCTTGTTTTGACATTAAACGTTTAGTAACATATGCTCAGAACATTTTATTTAAATAAGATTATTTTTTTAAATAATTGCAATCTTTTTCATAAATAAAATTGCCATAATATAAAGTATTAACGATGTAATAAAGAAAAAAAAGGTATATTTACAATTATTAACCTTAAATGATTGTAATGCATTTACGTTTAATGTAAAAAATCTGGTAATCATTACAATAATAGGATTAAGAAGAATTAACTTCGTGTAATAATTTGGTATTACCAAAGAATTGTTTTATTATTTTAAATTAAAATTTATACAGCACTTTTAATATTCCAAAATTTATGCACTAAAAATAGTTTACAAATATTACTAGATGAGCAACAATATGTCAATATAGTCATGTAATGGTTAATTTAAAACATACAAGATGTTTCAGTTTTTTTCGGCCAAACGTTGTCAGTACATTCTATAGCTTGAGATAAGAAAAAAATATTGTATGATCATGTGTCATTGGGAATATTGTTAAAAAGTTATAACAAAAAACAATATATAGAATGAACAAAAACGAACGTACGTTATTGTGGTACAAAATGTGAAGAGATAAAAAATCTATACATATTTATATTTAGTAATAATCAGAAGGTATCATGATACTTCTACAACTCCGACTGCAACTCCATTTCAAAGTGGTTACTATTCTAATCAGTACAAAATTAAAGCGGCAAAAACTGAATTTATTACTATGTATTTGATGTTCATTTTGATTTTGTTAACTCAATAAATGGAGATGTTTTTGAAATTACAGCATTATGATATTTTTTGAGTATCACTAGATATATATTTCTAAATTATTCATATTTTGTATTATAGTAATGTATATTCGTTACCGTTCATTTCATATATTATTCTTCTGTTTTTTGTTATAATTCTTTAATAATGTTTCCAATGATATATCTTTATATAAATTATTTTTGTCATTTTTATCCATAGAATATGCTAACAACGTTTGGCCGGAAGAAGACTGGAACACCGTGTATAAATATCTTAATAACATTTTTTGATTGTTAATTAAAAATTATTGTTTCATAGATTTTGATACATAGTATTTTTCGAAATAAATGTATATTGAAGCATAAAATATTGAAATGGAAAGTACAATTTTACTAAGTCTGCAAAGATTATGGTATAGAATAAAAGTACTGTAAGTTTAAGACTTTAACAGTCAAACATTAAATACATTTTTAAATATATTTGAATTTCTTAAACATTTTAATTTTAATTTTGATTTTACATAATTATATGTAAAAAAATTCTTTTAATCTGTTAGTTAAGCGAGTGGATCTCAATATCTATTGAAGTAAATCCAAAATTCGTGTTAAACATTTAGATTATCTTCTTTAAAAATTTATTTATTACATAAAAACAAATCAGTTTTTATAACAATAAAAGTAGTGTATTTAAATAATACTATTTAACTTTTTTTATTATATCTAAATAATATAACTATGTGTTGTTTTATTTATATAGTATAAATTCATGTATTATTAGAAAATATACTGTGTAACATGTAAATATAAAGAGACGCATCAATGATTGCACGCATATTTTCGTAAATTTCAATACAACAAAATTAAAAATATCTTTTAGTATAATAATATTTCAAACTTAATATAATATACTCTTTATATTTTTTTTATGATGTTCAGTAACCTAGTTATGTTAAGCAGAATAATTATTTTTAAATTGAAGAAATCTGTTATAATAAGATATTGAGCAAATAATATGTGTGAGCTTTCTAAAATCATTTATTAGCAAAACATATAAAGTATATTTATATTGTATAAAATTAAAACTAAAATATATGTGTATGTAAATGCAGCCATGTGTGTATACAAGATAATTCTAAAGAATGTATTAACGAATTCAAGATAAAGACTGCATATTTACAAAATAATTTTACCACTGTTTTAAAATAAATTAATGACTATATAAGTGAAATTTTTCTTCATGGTCAAACAGAATTTGATGAAAAAGAAGTAGAACTTAAAGGAGAAGAATATTAATTTTATTATTATTTTAATTTTATAATCAGATAATGAAATTTTTAATAATATATATAAAAACTTAAAATATAGTACCATCTGAATAATTTAAAAAATTGAAAATACAAAGCTTTCGATTACTGCTACTGGATACACAATTTAAAGCACCACAAGTTTTTTTTTAAATATATTTGTGGCAGATACGTAGAGACGAATGAAAAGTACTATAGATTTCCGTGGATATTTTTTTTTTTTTTTTTTTTTTTTTGGGGGACATCGTGTACTTTCATTCTGCTACATCGTATGTCCATATATCGTGCTCCTTTTTTTTTATACGAAGGGAAATCTTCATAGACACCCCCACTCCCCGGGGGAGGAGCGGGGGTAGTGTCAGATTCCTACTGACTAAAACCCCTCGGTGATTCCCACCCTCTACGGCTTTGACGGGTGATGGGACCCGACGCCTAAACGGCGCCACCACCCGCCAGCCGATTTGCGCGGTCCCGCACACCTCTCGTGTGGGAGGAGAAGCCCCCCCACACCACATATATCGTGCTCCTAATTTATCCTAGACGTTCAGTCTTGCTAACTTTTTAGTCACAGAGCAACCAAAGGCGACACTCTGCCGGCGTCTTTATTTTCTCAAAAACGCTGTCCCTTTTAATTGGTTGTACAAACGAGCGGGAAATTTAAATCAAGCAAATCTACTTTCACGTCAACCTCTAATAATTTGGAATATATTTGTAATAAATTTCCTGTATATTGCTAATATTGTCTTTTGATGTATTTTTATCAATTTTACGACGTTGAAAAGTTGAAAAAGAAAAGAATATATAAAAATGATTGCTGTACAAAATATATTTGAAGAATATGTATTACGGAAATGATTATTACAAATAATTTATAAGAAAATGAAAAACTATATATTACGAGAAATTACAGATGGATGTGTTACAGAGATATGACAAAATGTGTATTACAAATAAATTACTGATAAATATGCAGATTTAAACTATTCTTTTTCGACCGCCATACTTCTACACTCTACACTATGCACATGCGCACCACCGATTCTTTTGATTTGGGCCCTTAAATTAGTTGCGCCCTCTGCCTCTCTCTAGGAGGCAGGTTTTTTTGTCTAGTGTTGCCTCTTATTATATCTACTCTTTGGTTTTCGAGAGATCAAAGGTGACGATAGAGATTGTCACTACTGGTTTACTTTGTGGTTTCTCTCTAGGAGATAGTTTTCCTTGCCTAATGCTGCCCCTTGTTGTATCTATACTCTTTGTTTTAACAAGGAAACATATCAAACCGGGACACACCGATTTTAATGAAACTTATGTGAAAGATAGTTGTCAAGAAAATATTTGACACGTATTTTTTTTTATTGGCCATCGTTCACATTAATGGGGTGAAAATATCCCTCAAAGTTAAGGGCTGAAATCATATTTTTGGGAATATCTCCGGAATTAAAGGAGATAATTGGAGTCTTTTTTTTAAATTGTTAATCTTTAAATAAAAAACTTTTGTGCGTAAAAAAATGTTAATAAACTTTATTTGTTTAAATAATATTTTGAAAATTTATAATTTTTGTTTAAATTTTTATACTAAATGTTGAACTATTTTTTTACAACTTTGTGTACATACATAATGGACTAAAATAGAGAATACATGTTTTTGGAATTTGTTGTTTGTAGCAATGTTTATTAAATATATAATTTAAAATCGCCTCCTGTGAAGAGGGGCAATCAACACTTTTATTAAAAATATCATTATTTCTACAATCTTTTACAATATTCTGAACATTATATGCCTCCTCATATGCCGTTAATTAATTCGACTTTCTTGCTTTTTAAGAGCTTCGCTTGCTCCACTCAATAATAATAATATTTTATTATTATTAATATCCTTGATTAGGCGTTATTCTAAGAAGACCTCCGAATCTTCATATCTATTCTTTGTGTATGGTAAAGGAAATTACATATTCCCTTAAGTTTGGAAAAGATTCGACCAAATCAATATGTACATGTTTAAAAATGTTCAGACAGAGTTAAAAACTGTTTTATCGGCAACAAAATGCAGTGTTCATTCTATATAAGCAAAAATGTCCTTTGAGTCATTCCACGCCAAATCGATCACTTTTGGAAGTTACCATCTCCGATTTTGTTCTAACCGAAATATGTTGTAGTCCATGCGAAATTAGGGGGTTTTTAAGTCATCATTTTGCTGGTTTCGAATTCATTAATGAATGGCAAGCCTTCAAAGTTTGTAATTTTTGCCCATTTTGGCGAAAATAGGGTCCACTTAGGAATTTTTTTCTCAGAAACTACTTAACCGATTGAGTTAAATTTTTTTTTGTTTTATTCATGAAGGATTGGGCTATTTTAAAATATTTTTTCTAATTCCGTCAATTTGTTATAAAATGTTGAAAAATTTAAACAAATTCTTTTTTTGCGTTTTTCTCAATGAGGGGCGTAAAGGGTTAAAATTAAAAAAAAAATTGTTCATATTCTTTGAAGCTTCCCCTTCAAAATGAGCCCTTCAGAACGATGGAGCCTCGAGAATTGACGTCTCTATAAGCTGGAAAAGGACGCGGGGTACCCCCGTTTCAGGTAGATGAGTCGTGTTCTCCGCTATTATGATCGGTTTTTTTATACCACCGGTCTCAAAACAATACGACAAGACTTCGTATACGACTAAATGACCCTGTTCATACCTAGTAATGTATATTAGTACTCACTCTTGGCCAATGATACACTTATAGTTATGTTAGATTTAATCCTAAAGTGATATAAGCGTGAACTATGTATTTGTTTGGTTATGGGTTTGAAAATAATAAAAGAGTAAAAGTCATTAGGCTGTAGAAAACATATCTCACGAGATAGCTACGCAATATGAAAGCAAAAAGAGTTTTATTAATTCAACTATTCATTTAAGTGATTTCGGTGTTTTTGCAAAATGGCATTCT